CCAGGGCCGTTGCCTGGGAGGGGCCCCGGGCGCAGCCCAGCCTCCCTTCTGCTCCCAGGGGCGAGGACAACCACTGGATCTGCAAACCCTGGAACCTGGCGCGCAGCCTGGACACCCACATCACCAGGAGCCTCCACAGCGTCATCCGGCACCGCGAGAGCAGCCCCAAGGTGGGTCCCGGGTGGGCGAGGGCGCTCAGTGCACAGGCCGGGGTGGCCATGAGCTGGGGTCTGGGTCTAGCGCACACCCCACTCCTTCCCCTGCCCTGCCAGCAGGGGGCGCCGTGGCAGTCCGGTGAGAGGAGGGCGCCCGGGTCAGAGCCGTCCTGGGTGTATCTGACCTCAGGGTCCCCACGCATGACCGCACGACTGGCAGGAGGTGGCCGGGCGAGGAGCCCGGGGGCCCCGGTCGGAGGCGCTGCAGTGACTGGGCACCCAGCCGCAGGGTCGGGCGCTGGAGGGCGCAGGGCTTGCCCCGGGCAGAGGCGAGGGGAGCGGGCCCCGGGACCGCCATGCAGGTCCCCCCTGGAACGGGGGCCGGTGGGTTTCAGGCTGGGAATGTGTGTTCAGTTCCCAAAACCTGAACTGGTGGGACCTTGTCCTTCAAGCAAAGCGAAGGAGAGAGAAGGAAACCGTCCCAGGCCAGACGAGGGTCTGCCAGGGCAGAGGAGGGAGGGCACGGGTGCGGCCCCTCCAGGTGTGGGGACGGCGTGGGGCTGGCCCGCAGGCGCGAGCCCTCAGCCGGCGAGGCCCGGTGCTCTCTGCCGGGTGAGGTGGGCCCCCGTGAGCCTGCGTCTGTCCCTGCAGGTGGTGTGCAAGTACATTGAAAGTCCTGTCTTGTTCCTTCGAGAAGACGTGGGGAGGGTCAAGTTCGACGTCCGCTACATCGTGCTGCTGCGCTCGGTGAAGCCCCTGAGGCTGTTCGTGTACGACGTGTTCTGGCTGCGCTTCTCCAACAGGTAACGGAGCCTGGGCGGGCGGGGGCCGGGGCGAGGGGGGGGCCTCTTCTCTGTAGGGACGGGAAGTCCTTCACCGCAAGCCGCGTGGGCCACCGTAAGGGACGTCGGCTTCCTTGTAAAACAGGCACCCACACCTGTGGGTCGTGATGTCGTTTACGGGCTCTGGGGAGTCCCCGTGGGGCCGTGGGGGGCCACGGGAACGGGTGCCCTGCCGGCGGGACCCACTCAGGGTCTGCCTGCTGGTCCTGCAGGCCCTTCGCCCTCAACGACCTGGACGACTACGAGAAACATTTCACTGTCATGAACTACGACCCGGAAGTGGTGCTGAAGCAGGTAGGGGCCGGGCGGGCCCGGGGAGCAGGCAGGCTGGCCCCGTGTTATCTCAGCAGCCCCCCCTGCGGCTCTGAGATGATGGGGAGACCGAGGCTGCCCCGGGCCCCCAGAAGCACCACCTGCTTCCATTCAGACCCTCTGAGCACAGGGACGGGTGGGGGAGGGGAGCAGACAGGTGCAGGGCACAGGGTCCGACGCGGGACCGGGGGAGGGGGGTGGCTGCTGGCCTGTGACCCTGCCTGGTTCCTCTGAACGCCCCGCACTCTCTGGGCCCCTGGAGCAAAGGGGCATCAGGGCAAAGCTCCTTCCACGGTTAGTGCCGCAAGCCCCAGTCGGCCAGCACGCACCTGGGCAGGTAGGCACAGCCTGGCGGGAGCAAGTGGCTCTGGGAAGCAGGGTGGCACCGGGGCAGGTAGGCACAGCCTGGCGGGAGCTGGCAGCTCTGGGAAGCAGGGTGGCACCGGGGCAGGTAGGCACAGCCTGGCGGGAGCAGGCGGCTCTGGGCGGAGGAAGGAGGAAAGGAGCCGTTCAGCCTCAGTGCATTAGCCCACAAGCCCTCTCGCCTGCGGTGGTTAGTGCTGTTTCCGGCAACAGGAGCGCCCACCCCCACCCCCACCCAGGCCTGTGGTGGCCTCCTCCCTCCACCAGGGGGCCACGCCGAAATGTGGAGGCACATCTTTTTTTTTTTTTAACATATTTTTATTGATTTCAGAGAAGGGAAAGGGAGAGGGAGACAGAAACATCAATGATGAGAGAGAATCATTGCTCAGCTGCCTCCTGCATGGCCCCTACTGGAGCCTGGAGCCTGGAGCCTGCTGCCCTGGGCCAGGCCTGAGGTCCCCCAGGGCGGGTGCCGCGCACACCCCAGCAGGGCTGTTGCTTCTTGTCCCTCTTCCCGTCCGGGGCTCCGCCCTCTGGTCCCTGGGAGCCTGAGCCTCACTGGGTCCCATGACGCTGTGGGACATTGTCGCTGGGGGAACTGTCTTCCCTCTGCATCGAGAACGTGTCATCCTGGGGCCCGTTTCTTCTGGCGCCCCGTGTGTGGGGACACGTGTCCAGGAGGGCGTGAGCGCCAGGCTCCCGGGCAGCCCATCGGTCGTTTCTGGGAGAAACCTGAGCCGACTTGCCAGGTGTGTTTGGGGTAAAGTCTCAGCCTGAGAAGCTGCTGCCCCTGGGCCCTGGAGCTGGTGAGCATGAACCAGGCCAGGCCCTGCAGACACGGGTCCCAGGCCTGTCCCCAGCGCACGGACACGGGTGGTGCCGAGTCCGTCCCGACCTCACAGCCTGCGGAACCCTCCGCGTGCACTGAGCCTGTGAGGCCCACAGCAGCCCTGCAGATGCGCTTGCTGGGCAGGGAGCATCGTCCCATTTCACAGATGCAGACACTGAGGCTGCGAGAAGTAAATCTGCGTGTCCAGAGCTCAGACCCCAGCTCCTGCCTCCTCTTTGTGCCCCGAGGGGGGGGAGCTGCTGGCGCTGACCTGTGACCCCAGCGAGTGTCAGAGGCCCACGTGGAGGCAGGGCAGAGGGTGACGGGCCCTGTGTCTGTCGCAGGTGCACTACGATGAGTTCATCCCTGAGTTTGAGAAGCAGTACCCAGAATTCCCCTGGAGGAGCGTCCAGGTGAGTCCTGAGCGAAGCTGGAGGGGCCAGGCCTCTGTGGTGGGCCACGTGGGGGTCTGCCTCCTCGGATGTCCTGTCCTCCCACCGAGGTCAGGGAAGGGACGGTGTGAGGTGTGGAGGGCGACCTGGAGGGGCCTCAGGGAACCTGGGGACAGCCAGGCGGCCACAGCCCTGCCTGTCCCAGGAATCGCAAACCTAAGGGGGCAGCAAGGACTCCGCTGGAGGTGCAGGCTGCCCTCCACGTCCCGGGAGAGCATGGCAGGTGCCCTGCACCCTGCACACCGTGGTGCAGAGGGGAGCCAGGGGCTCGAGGCAGGAGACAGGCAGGTGGTGCCAGGACTGAGGGGCAGGTGTGGGGCAGGTGTGGGGCAGACGCAGCTACGGCCAGGCCTGGAGAAACAGGGTGGAGGACGAGGTGACTCGGGCCTTTCGGGGGCTGGGGCTTGGGAAGGGGCGGCAAACCCCACGTGGAGGGGCCGCTCCGGGCAGCCCTGACCCAGCCTCCCGGTCCCCAGGCGGAGATCTTCGGGGCCTTCACGGAGCTGTTCCAGGCGGCGTGTGCTAAGCCGCCACCCCAGGGCCTCTGCGACTACCCCTCGTCCCGGGCCGTGTACGCCATCGACCTCATGCTGAAGTGGGACAGCCGTCCAGACGGTGAGGGTCCCCATCGCCCAACCCTCACGCACCCCAAGCCGATGGCCAGAGGGGGCGTCGGTAGCCAGGCTGCTGGGTGGTCCTTTGCCAGGAGATCTGGGCCTGGGGAGGCCCATCGTTAAGGGGCGACAGCCTGCAGGACGGAGAGCCAACGGGAAGGGTGGGGGGAGGGGCCACCCCACTTCCTGGAGGCGCAGGAGGAGGCCCCAGGCCAGGCCCAGGAGCCGGAGCCCCGTGCTCCTCCCAGGAGTGAGGTGCCTGCGCTTTGTGCCCTCAGGGCAGCGAGTGATGCAGCCCCAGATCCTGGAGGTGAACTTCAACCCGGACTGCGAGCGCGCCTGCCGGTACCACCCCACCTTCTTCAACGACGTCTTCAGCACCTTGTTCCTGGACGAGCCCAGCGGCTGCCACGTCACCCGGCTGGTGTAGGCGCCCGGCCTCCTGCGCGGGCTCCTGGTGACCCGGCCTCGG